AGATAAACTACAATGGAGCTCCAAAATGGCCAAGTCAATACATGTTCTGTTTAATAAATGGAAAGGAAATTAAAAATTCCTTTTTTCTCATCATATATTCATAATAGAATTCTTGGAACAGTTGACAATTCTCTGTAGTTATGGAATAAATGACAATGTTTTATTTACATGCTAAAAGTAAAGTCATGCTAAAAGTAAACCAAGAATTTATATTATAGCAAAATCACTAGGATTGGGGCGCCTGAATGGCTCAGTCAGTTAAGTGTCCGACTCTTCATTTCAGCTCAGGTCATGATCTCACAGTTTGTGAGTTTGAGCCCCCATGTCAGGCTCTGCACTCAAAGCACGGAGCCTGCTTGGGATTCTCCGGTCTACCTCTCTCTCTGCCCCTCCCCCACTCATGCTAAAGCACGCATTCTTTCTCTCTTAAAAATAAATAAATCAACATTATAAAACCCTACTAGGATTCATATGAAATCTTAATGGATCCCAGATAATCAAAATTCTTGGCAAAACTGGCTTGGGGCCAGGGTGGGGGTGGGGGGAGAAAAAAAGAGTGAAAGCAAAAATAATTCTGAGAATGCAAAAATAGAGTTATTTTTAATCAAAGGAAAATACTAAGAACAACTCTATATTAATACATCAGAAAACTGATGAAAACACTTTCTAGAAAATATAAGTGACCAAAAGTAATTTGAAGAGAAAACCTGAACATCCTATTAAGGAGATAGAAGCAGTAGTTAAAAATCTACACACCAAAAACACTAGACCAAGACTTTTATAGGTGGATTTCTTCAAAACCTTCAAAAACATGTAATCCTTATATAACATGGCAAAAGAAAAGCAGCCCAACTCATTTATGAGAATAGAATATTTCCTACTTCCTGGGCAATCCAATGCTAAAGCCATGAAGCATAAACAGAGCAAGATACATACATGGGAGGAAAAAGGCAAGGGCCCTAGGAGGGAGCCAGAGCCCAAACATAGTGAGGAGGGTATATGCCCCGAGGGTAGTTCCTGCAGAATGTCAGCTCAGCACTGGGGGACAAAGGGCATCCCCATGTGGGAAGGTGCAGCAGCGGCAACAGGAGACTTGTTATGTATAGGGGGATTGATCAAGTAAACATTATGAGGATAACAGGATCTGAGTTGCTCATTGTTGGAGAAGATAAATACAAATATAGAGAGGGGCAATGCTAGAATAAACACTGCAGTGTTAGAACAGAAATGATGTTATCAGTGTAATCTCAGTGTTTTCAGTAGATAGTGGACAGACCCAGAAAGTAAGGAAGCCTCAGAATAATGGCCTAGAGACACATGGCAGCTGAAAAAGGTTAGTACTGGCCAAATCAGGGCTGGTTTGCGTATCAAATAATGATAGTACAAGATTATCACCCATGAGTCTACACAGTACACAAATAAAAATAGACAATGAATAAACTGAAAATTTGGTGAGGAATACAGTATTTACAAAGCCTCAAAGTATCTCCACACCACTTACTCATTTATTATAGAAGGAAACAGAACAATTTCACAATAAAGAGGAATGATGAAAAATCAACAAAAAACAAAAACAAAACCCAAAAACAAAATTTCTTTAACCAAAGTGAGCAAGATTACAATATAACAGGACAAATTAATATTTTGTGCCACTGATAGAATCCAAAAAGAAAAACATTGCCATCACTTAAGTGGTATTCCTGCCGAATATGTGTAACTTGAATCTGATCACAAAGCAACAGCAGACAAACCCTAATTGCAGATGTTCCACAAAGTAACAGCCTACGGTCCTCAACTGTCAACATCAGGGAAGTCAAGAAAGGACTAAGGAATTGTATGCAGATTGAAGGAGACTAAAGAAACATGATAACTAATGCATTCAAATATTTGGGGGGGCGGGGGAAGAGTTCCTTTCACTGTACTTGCAACTTTTCTGAAGTATGGGTATTAAAAAAATAAAATAAATGTAATCTCAAAGTCAATAATGATACAAGATAGGAAAATTACATGCTAATTCCCTTTAGGACCAAAGACATAAAATTTAGAATTTTTTAGCAAGTAAAAAACTGTCTTTTAAATATATCACCCACGAGAAGGATTTGCAGGATGGTCAGATATCAGAAAAACCTGTGTTGTTACACTAAACTGTATCAAAAAGTATAATGAACTTACAGAGTAAAAATAAAAATTTAATCACATTAGCAGATTAATAAAGAGCATAATAAAAATTTTTTTAAACTATTCATAATTTTTAAAACTATCTCTAAGCAAACTAGAAATGGGAGAAATTTAAAAATACAAGTAAAGATATTTGTGGGAGGGGAAATTAAAAGCAAACCTAGTCGATGTAGAACTTTAAAAAAGATTCCCTTTAAAATCAGGAGAAAGGAATCAATAACATCTTTGAAGCCTGTGTTGCCATTTCTTTTCAAAAACATACTGCAATTTCATGGGGCACCTGGGTAGCTCAGTCTGTTAAACATCCCTTAAACATCCGACTTCGGCTCAGGTCAGGATCTCACAGTCTGTAAGTTAGAGTCCCACATCGGGCCTTGTGCCAGAAGCTCAAACAGAGCCTGGAGCCTGCTTCAGATTCTATGTCTCCTTCTCTCCGCCCCTCCTCTGCTCACGCTCTCTCACAAAGAAAATAAAAACATTAAAAAAATTTTAAAACAAAACACATTGCAGTTCCACCCAATGCAAAGAAGACTAAAATAAAAGGTGTAAGAATTGGAAAAGGAGAAAAAACCTTATGATGCTATAGAATCATAATAGCATAGTATTGGCAAAGAGATAGCAAATAAATCAATTTGGTCCTAGACATAAATTTATTTATGAGATATTGCTTTATAATAAAAGAGCATATTATAAATCAGTGTGGAAAGGATAAACTATGAGAAATAGGTGCTAGGCAATCTCTACAGGAATAAATAAGAAAATTATATCCATAAATACAAAAAAAGATTAAAAACATAAATGTGGGTTGACTGCGGGACTCAAGTCTGTTGAGCCTCTGACTCCTGATTTCAGCTCAGGTTAGGATCTCACAATTCATGAAATAAAGCCCCACACTGGGCTCTGCATTGACAGCACAGAGCCTGCTTGCAATTCTCTCTCATCTCTGACCACCCCCCCCCCTTGTGCATGCACTCTCTCTTGCTCAAAATAAATAAACTTTAAAAAACCCATAAATGTGTATGTAAGTCAAAAATTTTAACACTGATTAGGATAAGGGAGACTTTTTTTTAAAGCACTACACTGATAATTTCAACACATTAAAATTAAATCATCTATATGACAAAAGTGAAATGTAACACTATTTGCATGAAATGGATTATATATACAGAACATATAAAGAAATCTTACAAATCATTAATTTGTCAAAATTAATGTCAATAATGTCAAAAAGTGAGTTCAAAAACAAGTTGCAAAAGAGTATAGTCTGATACCCCATATATGTCATCAAAGCTCAAAAACTACTACTATATATTGTTCATATATATACACATACATGGCAAAAAGAGTTAAATAATGCAATGGAACGATATCCACAAACTTTAGACACCTCTGAGAAGGGTAAAAAGAAAAACTGTTAAGGGCCTAATCTGGTCTGTAACGTTTTATATTTTAAAATGAGGTTGCCTGGCTGGCTCAGTTGTAGGAGCATTCAACTCTTGATTCTAGTCGTGAGGTCGTGAGTTCAAGCCCCATGTTAGCTGCAGAGACTGCTTTAAAAAATAATTTTTTAAAATAAAATCTGAAACAAAATGGTAACTCATTAAATGTAAATGGTTAACATCTCTATGGAAAAGTGCTGGGAGAAGGTATCTGCCTCAGATGTAACTAAGAGTGGGTGTTGGGTAGTAATTTTCACATACAAAGGAAAATGCCAGTTTAAGGGGAAAGCAGTGAGGCGAGGGACCAGTAAGCAGGACGCTTAGTCACAAGATAATTTATATACTGAAATAAAATGCAAACCAAGGAGAAATGCCTTCAAGGAGCAATGATATTCTAATTGATGAAATAAAGGCAAATTCCAATTCAACTGAAAAAAAAACAAAACAAAATACCCAGTTAGCCTACCACATTCTTCCACACCACTACACACCCTCCAGACTCTTCTAAATGGCAGTAGTTAGTCAGGCGTTGATCAAGTCCACATTTTTTTTGAACTCAAGTATTTATCTCATTTTGGGGTTAATTTGTAGTACCTTCCCCCCAGTTAAACTTACTCCCTCACTGAATAATTATTTGTTGAATCTCTGACTATGAACAACATTTTGCCAGAAGCTATGGAGGAGTATTAGGAGACTGAGCTCTTTTCTTCACATTTATTTAATCCATATAACAAACTATAATATAGTTACTGTTTTTCCAATCTTACAGATAAATTGAGATTCAGAAAACTTAAATATACTCCTAGTCACCATGCTGACATAGCATGAGCCAGAATTCAAATTCTATTTGTCAGACAACCTCAGAACCCATGTCCTTTTCACTATACAACTAACTCTCAAGTCCAGGGGAGATCTTATGTCTAACTGTCCTGCTCTACTCTATGTGGGCTATACTCACAAGATACCATGAGTTATGTTTTCCCATGAAATCACACAATAGAATCAGGCTTGCAGAATACTGTGATAACTTTTGAACCAGTAACTCCTAATCTATGATTTAGAAGACAGTGAAAGAAAACCTGAAAAAAAATTTAACTGCTCCAGACCAAAAAGATTAAAAAATTGGGGCACCTGGGTGGCTCAGTAAGTTAAGCATCGGACTCTTGGTTTTGGCTCAGCTCATGATCTCAAGGTTCACGAGTTCCATCACGGTGTCAGGCTCTGTGCAGACAGTGCAGAGAGACTGACCAGGATTCTCTTTCTCTCCCTTTTCCTCTGCCCGTCCCCTGCTCATGCTCTCTCTCAAAATAAATAAAAAAACAGCAACAACAAAAAACACGTTTAAAACATTAAGGAACAAACTAAAATCCTCCACACCGGACATTGTTATCAAGAGCTTTATATACTTCCAATATAGAATAATCACATTTCTACACATAACATGGGCATCATGAGCTCATTTTACAGGTAAGGAAACATTTGTATGCAAGTAAAGTAACCTGCCTAAATTCACATAGCTAGTTATGTGAAGCCAGGATCTAAACCCAATAGGCATGATTAATCAGTAACAGTTTTACCTACTTTTTTGTACGCAGTGAGAAATTTATTTTAGATCATTTTAAAGCAACTTCTACAAAATGCTATTTACCTTAATAATTTGTAGCAAGCTAAAAATATTGTTTTTAAGATGCTGGTTTTGAGTCATGAAATTACCATCTCATGACTCACGATTGGAAAATGCATAGTGCTTAACTGTTTCAAAGATATTGTATTTATTACAACCACAGCAGCAAAAAACAAACAAACAAACAAAAAACCCCTCAAAAACAAATAAAAAAGCTAAATGGAACTAAACGGTCGGCCAGAGTTGAGAATTATGAATATAAAAAACTGTTATTCAGAGAAAACACAATATGCACATTGCTTAAATGATGCATGATGCTTATACACATAAAAAATATATAAATATACAATAGCTGTCTTAAGGTAAAAAAGGGTATAGGCAATTACATTTTTATTTTTAATTTATAAAGGCTTTTATTTTAACTTACAAATTGGACAAGTTAAGAGCCCAGAGAGTAGCCACTTTGCTTTTTTACTTTCTTGGCGCCAAAGCAATTTACCGATGTGTTCTTTCTTAAACACCTGTTCCAGATGATGGTGCAAAGTTTTCCAACTAGTTGTATAAAGCTAGCAAGTTTTTTATGCCAAAATATACAGACAATAATCCTCTCCAAATATTTTTTATAAGAAGTTGGAACCAAATAACTTACAATATTAAAAGAGAACAGAAGTTTGCAAACACATCCTAAAGACACACACATTTAAGCGTTACAGAAATATGCTCCCTCCCACCCCTACCCCTTGACTCAGTGCCTTTGACACCACCTCCCCTGGAGCCCGAATTGATCTCGGACTTCAAGAGGAGGGAGCAGGGCCACCTGTCCCAGGTCTGGCCCTGGCCTCCTCATCTGCCAAAGCCTCACAGTACTGTGCTGGCCAGTCCTTGGGGTCTTGATTATGCACTTTGGCCACAAACTTAAGAACTTTCATCTTGCTGGTTTCCAGGTTGGTCCGGGGACCCCACTGGAATTCATAGTCTACAGGATCAGTGTGGGGTATCCGCCGGTACTCCAGGTAACGCTGTCGCACAAATTCTTCGGTAATAAGTTTCTTTGGGTCCCCGAAAACTAAGTGCTTCTTTGTGGGGTACACCCCTAAGCGACGCAGGAAGTCCCAGACCTCCGTTTCCTTGATAGTATTGCCCTTCATAAAGATGAGACCTAAAACAATCATCAGGAGGCCGGTAGTGGGCGTGCCCTGATCGCCTCTCACCTCGGCATCCTCCTCCACCGGTTCCAGAGTGTTGATCAGGATGTAGGTATTACTTTTGGGTTCCAGTTCCACCAGCTTGTACCCGAAGACGTATTCGAGGCGCTCGGCAGCCAGTTTGAGGAGGTCAGGGAAGATGTCCTTGTAGTCACCGATGACGTGCTTCAGGATGTCAGCGCGCTTGATTGGGATCTTCTTCTGGTCCTTGATCAGCAAGAACTGCACCAGCTCGGCCACCTTCAGCTCCAGCTGCTGCTGGGATCTGGGCCCCACCTCAGGGGAGGCCTCGGCCCGGCGGCCGCCCTGCGACGACGTGCCCCGGGACTCCCGGGAGCCTCCCGCCCCGCGGGAGGTGCTCGGAGCCTCCTCCGCGGCGTCGCGGCCCCAGTCCCTCTCCCTCTCGGCCTGGCTGCTAGGGCGGCCCCGGCTCCTCGGTTTCTGCAACATGTCCCCGGCGGCTGGAGCCGTAACGGGCGGCAGCAGGGGCAGCGGCGGCAGGCGCGAGAGCAGCGCGCAGCGGGAATTGTGGGTTAGCGCACGGCCGTCTGGTCGACCTTGGGCAGGGCCGGAGGGGGCGCGCGTTGCATCACGGAGACTGCGCTTGCGTCGGCGGAGCTTGCGTATTGCGTCACGAGGGCTGCGCGTTGCGTCAGGGGCGTTTCCTTGCCGCCGCGCGTCGGCGGAAAGAAGCGGGGGTCTCCGTGCAGTCTTGGGAGTCACAGCCCTGGTTTTTGTTGTAATTAGAAGTGTTGTCCTTACCAAGCCCCCCACATAGAGAACAGGAACCGAAACTCCTAAGCAAGTGTGCGGCTGATTTTAGGACCATACGGGCTCAGGCAAGTACTGCAGAGAGTATTAAGAGTTTTAAAATCGCGAGTATTTTCAGATGGAGGGAACTCCAGTGGATGAATGTGAGAGAAAAGTAAGGGGAGGAGGAAGATTAAGAGTATGGAAGTGAAGTAAAAGCATTTCTCTCTACATACAGCGACACTGACAGAATAAAAGACCCAGATGACTCCATCTGCTTTGCTTTCGCCACTCCCTCGGTTCAGGTTCAAATCCGCCTAAGCATTTACCACCAGTTACTTTCTGTAACGCTCCGAGGAGTTTATGAAAAATGAATGTTTGGTAAAGGCAGGCTTGCCTTTCAAGTAGGACTCGACCATATTTTCGCTATTTCAGTATTTATAGTCTATGCATTAAACTCCCCCCTGCTAGACAACCAGGACACGCCGCTATATAAAGCCCATTATAATCAAGTGTTCTTGCTTATTTCTCTTGGAAAGCACTTGCTCATGTAAACTGCGTTGGGCCACACCACGATTTTAGCAGAAATAGGTAAGAATGCTACAAACAGAAACGTGCTCTCTCAAGAGATTCTCAGTTAATTTTGGGCATCACTGATCACGAACTGCAATAATGTGAATCTCTTAAATTTCTTAATTTTTAATATATTAGCCTTAGGGCTCAGAAAGAAAAGAGAACCCAGGGGTATCATTCCTCATAATCTGTAATGTGTGCCCTTTGTGTGTGTGTGTGTGTGTGTGTGTGTGTGTGTGTGTGTGTGTATGTATGTATTTAATTGTGCAACCCTAATAGCCAACATGAGTCATTTCATTAACTCAGACCATCTGCAGTCTGCTGCCATTACTTCTACAGATCTTAGCAAATGTGTTCCTTTTCTATTTACGGAGAGAAGAAACTGAATTTCCTACTTTGCCTTTTTAAAGCTGCCCAGAAAGTGGGAAAACTCTTCAAAGAACCAAATCAAATTGAGTTCCTCTTTAATGCAAATATATTCAAAGGAAAGCAATTCAAAACACATTATTTGAATAATAGCATCAAAACACAACCTTATTAAAATTTCATTAAGTGTTAGTAACATAAAATTTTTGTTTGTAATTCAATATGAAAATGCAATCTGATAATGGCATTGGAACTGCAATACTAAATGTAAAATGATATTCCATGTTGTGATGCAAGTATGCTAAAATCTAGTGAATTATGAGTAATGACTGTTCCACACACGATCCAACAGTATATCCTCAAGCATCAGTCTTAATGACAGAAGCCTACTAAGAAAAACAAATATATCATCAAGGCACTCCTTTTTTTTTTTTTTTACAATGAGAAAATTTTCCTTACAGGACTTCATGTTAAACCTCCTGAAATCAAGAATTCTGCAAAAGTTCCCTCCAGTAGGATCAGCTGTACTGTGAATTTAAAAAAAAAAAAAAAAAAGAAAGAAGGTGGGAAGGATCAGCAACCAACAGAAAACAGAAGTGCAAAATGAAATGAAACCCACTGTTAACAATTAGGCTTCATTTTCAGTGTAAATCTGCAGTGTCCTTCAGCAGCATCTTTACTCAGCAGATTGTCATACTCAAAATAAGTCAGAAAAGATACCAGTTAAAGCACCTCTCTACACTGTATCCAGGAGAGTGCACCTGAGAAAAGACATACATATAATAATATGAGAATGAAGTTTAGGCATCACATGGAGAAGTCACCCAGACCCACACTCCATTTTAGATTGACAAGGGAAACCATGGATGTTTGGGGGAAAACGTGATGATAATGACACAAACACTAATAATAATACATACAAACAACAGCTAATAATTATTACAAAGACTATTCTAAGTGGTCTACATATATTACTTCATTAGTCACTACAACAACCCTATAAGGCCTGTGTGTTTATTATGTTTCTCTTCTCACAAAGGAAGAAACTGAGGCACAACAAATTAACTGTGTTGGAGTCCTATAGCAAGTAAGTGGTTCTGAATTAAGACCGTGTGCCTTCAGAGACTGCTCTTAACTATATGTTAAAGCAGAGAGAACATAAACATAGTGTCCTTAAAAAAGCAAAGTTATGGAGCCCTATAGACCTAGATTAGAAACCTGTGTAGGGGCACATGGGTGGCTCAATCAGTTAAGTGGCCGACTTTGGCTCAGGCCCTGTTCTCATGGCTTGTCACATGTGTCAGGTTCTGTGTTGACAGCTCAGAGCCTGGAGCCTACTTTGGATTCTGTGTCTCCTCTTTCTGCCCCTCTCCCACTCACACTCTCTCTCTCTCTCTCAAAAATAAACATTAAAAATATTTTCAAAAAATAAAAAAGAAATCTGTGTAATATCTGGGCACCCACTGACACTCCTTTCTGTTTCCAAATCAACAAAATGAGAGTACCGTAGTCTCCCCTTGTCCACAGGGAATACGCTCCAAAACCCTCAAAGGATGCCTAACACTGCAGATAGTACCGCATCTTATATATACTGTTTTTTCCTATACATACATATAACCTATTACAAAGTTTATAAATTAGGCACAATAGATTAAAAACAATAACTAATAATAAAGTAGTACAATTACAACAATATACTATAATTGAAGTTATGTAAATGTCATCTCCCTTAAAATGTCACCCTTCTCATATGATAAAATGCCTACAGGATGAGATGAAGTGAGGTGAATAATTCAGGCACTGTGATGTAGCGTTAGGCCATTGACCTTCTGAGAATATGTCAGAAGGATGATCATCTGCTTGCAGACCACAGTTGACCAAAAGTAACGAAAACCTTGGAAAGCAAAACCACAGTAAGGGGGGACTGCTATAATAATCCAGGCATTAGGGAACTAAGGAGATAGGTTTGCCAAGTACCTCACCCAACAGTGGGACGACGTAGTTGATAACAAGTTTACTTCGTTAGAGGGTTTATGTTAAAGAAAATATCTGGAGACTTTAGAAAACTGTATATAGAAAGATGTTTACTGCAGTGAAACACATGTACATACAAAAGTCAGGGGGAAAAAGTCTGAAAAAAACATTAAGGTGCTATTAAAATTATTTTAAAAATGAAATTTAATGTTGATTGTCTTGCTTGGGAGATAGAAATACATTCTCAATGATTTTAACTTCACAGTGACACCATGCCATTAACAGTTATGCACATTCAAATTTTCAGTAAATGCAGTGTGACCTGAATATGACATTTGTGACTTTTTGTTCAGCCAGTGAAGTAATAAAGACAAGTGGTTTAAAAAGAAAAACATTTTCAAATAGTTTATGGTAATGACCTTATGGTTTTATTACTAGACAAAAAAGTAAAAATTCTTTGAGGCAAAAATTAAGCTAGCTAAGATTTCAAATGCATTGAACAAAGAAATGCCTACTATCACTTGTTCTTTAGATGTCTGAGTAATTAATTGCTTTATTTCATCTCCTTGGTAGCAAATGACTGCCAGCAATCTCTAATCATCTTTATTTACTAGATTCTCCTCTTCATTCCCTAGTATATCTTGCAGAACCAGAGAAAGGTTTAAAATTTTCTGCTGGCAACCTAGTGCAAAAAGTAGGGAAAGGCTTTTTGGGGAGAAAAGCAATGATAAAAGCATGCAGCCCCATGTATGAGCAGCTTCACTGCCTTTTCCAGTGAAAGAAAGTGGGACCTTATGCAGCATGTGAGCAAAGGAGTTGGAGCGGGGGAGGCAGGTACTATTTTGGTGAGTAGACAGGAGGAAAAGGATTCCAGATATTTTTAATGGCTGTAATAAAATTCCTTGTGTTCACTCATAACAAAGATCCACACAGCAGGACTACATGATAACACTTTGTCGTCGCTCTTGAAAGAATACTTTTAAGTGTCAACAGAGCTTTCCTTGACTGGTGGAAGGGGGTGGAGAGGTGCAGCTTGATGAGATAGCTCTTTCTAAGCATTGCAGCCATTTGGTCCAGAAGTACCTTCTCAGACTCTCTTTTCAAGAAATAAAAACCTTCCAGTTATCCAGTTTACTTATGAAAATCATTAAGGTCTGCTAAGTTATAAAATTAGAAACACACAAGGTCTCTGTAGTGGTCAATAAGTTTCTTTTTGTTTGCTTGTTTTTGCCTCTTGTTCTGCATTTTTTCCCTTTAGGAACTGGTTCCCATCTCTAGGAGACCTTAGTAAGGCTCTACCTGTCTTTCCTGAGTGCACATGGTTCAGGCCAGCCATAGCGACTGGTTTGGAAAGTCTAGTCAGCATCCTTTCAGAGGCTCACATAGGCTCTCCTTTCCTGAGCTAACAAGCTAAACAGTGATGGAAGCCTAGCCCCCTTTGCCTTTGCTTGGGTATAACCTGCTTCATGGTGACTGCCAACTCAAAGGCAATCCTAATACCACCTCCTGGATCCTGAGTTCAAGGTCAGACTCCTAGGGATAACTACTTAATGATGCAAGTCAGATGTTCTTTTGCTTTATCTGCTTCCGGTTGGTTCTCCTCACTTGGAACTGAAAAAATTATGGCCAAGCAATATCCAAACCCAATTAAGCAGGGGAAAAGAGGGTACTAAGGAATGAGACTTTGTTTCAAAAGGAGGGGGCTAGACAAAGTTAATATTACCTGTAAGGTTATTGAGTGTAATCAGATATTATCTGAATACAATTTGACATTTTTATTGTTTCTTGGCATATTCTATGGTTGATGTATGCACTTAAGATTTTAATTGCTGGCAATAAGGCCAACATAGAAATCATGAAAGACTGTTTTTCCCTATAGAATG